AAAATTATTTTTTTTGTGCACGGATACTGATTTTGGTGTGTTTTAACAATTGAATTGTGTATTTTTATCGGTTTAATATTAATTTGAGAAACATTTGCGCAATTATCGCAGGGCCTACAAATTTAGTATCACCATCTTTTTATTCTACCGGGCCTGCGCTTTCAGAAAATATATGGTTTGGGGGGTCTTTTACAAACGCTAGCAACGCAGCAGTTGAAAATCAAACCAATAGGAAAAAATTGCAGAAAATTCAAAAATGGCGCGGCCAGCTGATTTGAAAAATGTTCCGGAGGGCTTGGCAGCGAAAGGGTTAATTATCGGCCAAAATATATCAGCCAGTGACAAATACAATTTCATAATAAGTTTACAAATGATCCTAAAATAACCCCAAAGGAGTGAACAAGGAGTACAATGTTCTTCCTTAAACATTTTTTAAATAGGTCCAGTTTAGAGGCGTTCTTGAAATACAAGAGTAACATAAAGAAAAACATTGTCTTATTTCTCTTTGGAATCTATCCTCCCATGTGAGATACCACACCCTGGCCAGCAGTTATCTTAAGAAATAGTAACCAACAGTTGAAAATACTCATTTAAAATCCTGTTAAATCTTTAAAACAACAGTTGTAAGATGTAATGCTACTAAGTGACATATCTTTTATTTTACCTTAGGGGTTTGTTTCATTTTCAAAACTATTTTATTAAGTGTTGTACAGAATATCAAAAATTCTACAAATGTAAAAACACATGCAGAACAATACCCATTGCTAATGGTCTAAAAAACAAATGAAGCCCACAAGTCCTTAGAGCATGCTGGCATGTGGAATCTACACCAACAGCAACAGGTTTATTAGATCTGGTAAGCGCTGCGCAAACTGTTGGCGCTATATAAATCCTGTATAATAATAAAAATAATAATAATCTGGTCGTCTGACAGTTCTAAAAAGCTATGACTCCTTAAAGGAGAACTATAAGGGGAGTGCTTTTCACTCACCTCATAAGTGTAGCCGACCTGTGACAATTAGACTGTCACAGGTCGGCTCAGTAGATCGGGAGGAGAGCGAACACATAGCGGCGTTGGCTCACCTCACGATCCTGTCACGGCTCTCTGCCGTGACAGGGGAGGGGCTGGATTCCCCCCTCCCCGCTCCGATCCGCCAGCGCTGACTGGCGGAACGGACGGGGGAGGGGGCGGGTACAGCTGGCTCTGCCTCTAGATAGGCAGAGCCAGCTGTCAGTCACGCAGCTGGGCGGATCCCGGCATAATTGTCGGGATCCGCTTCAGCATCTCAGTATACCGCGAACAGCAGCTCGCGGTATACTGCGGCGTCTCAGTATACCGCTAGTTTGTGTTCTCCCGTTACCCTAAGGAGAACTATGGGGAAAAGCCCTAACCCCATAGTTCTCCTTTAACTAAATCGGTCTTTTTTTCACTCATCACCATATCGTTTGTGGCTGGATTGGGTCATGCATAAGTATCAAATGGTTCACATACCAGTCAGTTCCACTGATGAGCAGTCCAACTTAGGGCTGTTTTAAGAAATTTGCCATCCCAGAAAAAACATCTTATGAGTGGACTCCATCTTCCCAATCCCATCTTTTATTTCCTCAACATAAAAAAAGCATATTTCTACAAAATATGCATGCAAAGATGGAGATAATCACACGTACTAATAACACGGAGCCCCTGTCCTTCTCGGGAGCTGCAGGATACGGCCATGCATGCAGCACGGAGCTGTACGTACTGGCCGATTCCTGTGTGAATGAGCCCTTAGTCTAAGAGGTGTAATGCAGAGGAATACTTACATTATTTCTCTTCTTCACTTCCGCTCCAACCCTGGAATTTGTATGTACCCTCAGTGTCATCATGTACAATGCAGTATCAGCAGTGACCGCTGGTCCTGAATTGTACGTCATGACATTGGCGAGGGTGCGCCCATACGATGAAGAAAAGCAGTTTTATGGCACCGGCCTCCAATATTAGAACCACCAGGGAGGATGCCTGTGGGACTGAGGAATAAGATAAGTATTTCCCTAAACTAACTGAGCATTAGATCCTTATTTACAGGGCATACCCACAGGGAATTTTGACTGGAATTTAAATTTAAGCTGCACAAGATACTGGAGCCCTTGCTGACTGTTCTATTGTTTGACTCCAACAAAAGTAAGGAACAGGACTGAACACAATTTTGGAGAAATATATTTTTTCCAATAAATGAATACAGAAATAAGAAACTGGAAAACCGTTCTATTGGTGCCTAATGCTTACTAAATCTAGATACATGAAGACATATTCAATTCTATTGCACAAGCTGGAAGATAGATGTGTACAGAAATCCTAAAGGTATGATCCAATTGCACAGAAATTTCAAATATGTGAGAGTTTGAATATTTACTTGAAAATAAAAGGAGACTGTATGTTGGAATATTTTCATTTAGCTGTAATGATAACTATACACATGCTGATTTTTTAACTGTGATGTGGAGAGCAGCGGGAGGTACCAGTGAGCACAGCGAGAGACAAGGGAGATCGACACTCCAGGAAGTGTTGGTTTCTTAGCAGATATCAAAGTAAGATTTATCTTCAAACAAGTGCAGTTCAGCAGCGGGGGCATAGGGACATATGATATAAATATATATCATTGCAATATATCATTGTATATGATACACATTGTTTTAGTAAGCCAAATGTGATCCATTTAGAGTTTTAATCTACTTAGATAAGGTAAAGAGAATTGTACATTATTTTGGCTGGACTTTTACTTTAAAGCGACCCTTTCAAATTCCCCAAATTAAATTCCCCGTAAAAACCCCGTAAATATATGTTAATTTTCTTTTTTTTACTTCTACTCCCCCCCCCCCCCGCGTGTCCTGCAACCTCTTTAGAGACACTTCCTGCCTATATACAAGCACCCCAGTGGCGGCTGCATGTCACTGGTCAAGGTGGCCTTCCTCAATGGCAGAACATCCCTGCTCAAGAAGAACAATACCCATTGCCAATACTCCTCCAGCATCTGATCCCTGATAACATAATGATTGTGCTCGTTCCAATACAATATAATCCAATTATAGCCTATGTACTTCATAGTTAATTACTCCCAACTCTCTGTCCAAAACCTGGTTTGCAGAGGATTTTTTTAAGGTAATCCAAAGATTTTGTGCAGTCATACAGGTAGTACTTTAAAACAGATTCAATGTTTATGTAAACTCTAGCACTAAACTTCTCTTATTTACTCTCTTTCCGGCTATTAAATATACGATTCAAAGCATATTGTTATATCTGTTCAACAGGTGCAAGGAAAACCTATTGATTCTGTCAATGATTGAAAACCATCCAGCTCCATGTTCGCTCTGCCCGGGTTATCTCAAGCAGTCTAATTAGCCCTCCCAGATCTTGTGGATTACAAAACACCCCCTCCCTATGTTGTAGAAATAAGGAATGGGGGAGGGATTTTGTAGTTTAGCAAAAGACAACTGATCTAGGCTGCCACTATCTCTTGTCATTTCATTCCAGAAAACACACTGGGGAAAATTTATCAAAACTAGAGCAGACAGAACCTGAAGCAGTTGTACCTAGAAACCAACCAGCTTCTCTCTTCAGCGTGTTCAGTTAGGCCTCATTCAGATGGGGCGTACACTTCTGTGCGGTGTGCACATCCGTAAACAGGCCAATCCCGGGAGGGACAGGTGCTACATGTAAGTGCATGCAGCAGCCTGTTCTTCCCTATGGGAGGACGCGGCTGCATGCTGTCATCCGCACATCCGAACTTGCGTGTCCGTGTGTCCGCACTTAGATGTGCAAGTTCAGGTGTGCAGAAGATAGCGTACAGCAACATCCTCCCATAGGGAAGAAAAGGCTGCTGCATGCAATTACACGCAACACCTGTCTTCATTCTACATTTTTTAAATGACACTAAACTGAGAGTTAAAACTTGAAAATACATTCAAGTACCTTAACTATAAGAGCCCGTTCACATCAGTTGCAGTGCATTTCAGGCCTGGTTCTGGCCAGAACGCACTGCCTCACATTGCGGCCGGCTCTATTTTTTGTGGAGCAGGAGGGGGCATCGCGGGCCATTGAAGTGAATGGCACCGTAGCCACGCCCCCCAGACGCACAGGATCGCAAGGCACATTATGCCTGCAGTCCGGTCAAAATGCTGCAAGCACTATTTTGATCACACAGAGGGCGTGGCTACGGTACCATTCACTTAAATGGCCTGCCACGCCCCCTCCTGCCCCACAAAAAAGTGAGCCGGCTGCAATGCGTGGCAGTGCGTTCTGGCCAGGATCGGGAACGCACTGCATCTGGTGTGAACGGGCCCTTAAGAAAAATGTATCTTATTTGTGTATCACTCGGCTGTAGATCCTCAAATCATCTCTGAATTGGTGCCAACATGTCCTTTCTTCTCAAGGGTGGCCACTTTTGTTCCACTTGGTCTCTGTGTATATTGTAAAGTAGTCACTGCTCCAAGCTCACTCCTGTGATGGACTACAATCAGCTGAGTGCTACACAAATAAGTTACAGTTTTAATAGGGTACTTGAATGCATGGTAACTCC